CCCAAAACCCCAAAACCCCAAAACCCCATTTGATCTAATTTTCTCATAAACGAGGAGTAATAGAAATCATTTAATAATCAAAGGATGAACTAATTCCTCATGAATCTCAAGAAATTCAATGTATTGATCTCGAGGATCCTAGCAAATAATAATCAACTGATTTGTAATAATCATAATCAAAAGCAATCCTAAAATAGTAGACCATCTAATTGTTTAATGTGTTGCTTTCTCTATCACTCTGTTGAAACTAGTCGCACAATTCTAATGTGGAGGACCTTAGGTGACATTCGAGAAGGTCCAGAATCTAGATTATTTGCACATAGAAGCACAATTAAAGTCAAACTCTAGAGCCTCCAGTAAATCAATATTGTGATCAATTGAATCTTAATAATACTTTGACAAGGATTGTTCAAAAGCTCGAAGTATAGGCAAAGGGCAGGTTTGGAAATTTATAGCTCCATCATTACTAATGACCATAGATTGTTTGTCGATAATTCCTAGTTATGTATTTTACTTCTGAGGAAACTATTCTACGTAGTTCTGCCATTCTATTGGATCTAATTGAATTGATTTTATAAATTATATTTACCTGCTTTGCATTGGCATACATAGCTGCAGAGAATTGTATTTGCAACATAGTAGAGTTTGTCTATTTTATCAAACATACTATTGAATGTCATGCATTGATGATTTATTTCTGTTTAAGCTTTCTCTAAGTATATAATTGAATTGAAGATTAATTTTTACTCTTATAGACGACTGCTAATACACATATTGCAAGAATAAAGAGAAACCAACACATCAAAGCTAGGGTGTATATAATTTAGCTCCAAGATCTGATAAAATATCTCTGATATTATCTCCATGATTAAATTCCAATTAAAACTGTCATCCATAGCAGAAGTAAAATGATCCCAGAGGATGTAAGTAAATCTTTCTTGATATCCATAACTTGTATCAATTTAAACTCATTCATAATCAAGTAAGTGAAGTAAAACACTGCGCATCCTAGACCCTGAAAATTTTGTGAATATACTATACTAATTACAGCAAAAAACATTATGCTAAAAGTTATGCCAAATGACTGAATTTTCCTCATATCATTATCAATTATATCAAAAGCCTTATACATTGAAATTTCCAAAATTCAAAGTATGTTTTAGTGTGTATGATATAGAATTATCTTCTATTTTTAAAAAAAATTATTAACTTTTTGTCCTGATTCAATTAATGAAGGACTTATGGGGTTTTGGGGTTTTGGGG